TTAAATTGTGGAGTAGAAGCTGTTTGTATTGAAGAAGGCTGAGGGTGTTTTGGAGCTTCTGCTCTGGGCTGGGGGCTCTGGCTGAATTTTTTACTCCTTTCAGGGATTCCTCCGGTGTCTTTGGATGAGTTTCTTACTGTAGTTTTGAAAGGCATTAGTTAGCAAACTGAAAAGAGCCTCTTGTGTGGATGGCAGAAGAGAAGTCTCCAGCTTCCATGCATAAGGTATATTTAAAATCACACTTACTCACAAGCTAAATGGTATGTTTGGATGGCTTGAGGATTTAGTCCAGAGAATGCTGGGAACAATCCCAATAATCAAAAGATTTTTTTCCGAATAAACATCAATCAGAGCTCTCTCAGGGAAATAAATATCGGTGTGTCAAGGTTGGGTTGAAATCTTCTGTAATGAAAGTCCTTTCACAAGAAGGTAGAAAAGTTTCTAAACTTGCCTCTGTCCTTTACTTGAGGACGATAACAGATCATCTTGCAGTTACAATTATCCTGGTTTTTTTTTTTGGCTAGAACAGGTAATATAGTGACTGTGTTTCAGTACTCTTGATTAATCTTGTAAATTACGTAATGAATAAGAAACCTTAAAAGTTCTTTTCAAAGGCATAAATTGTTTAGTTAGAGGTGTATATACACTCAGTAATGTATTGCCTACTTAAATTGTGATATTTCCCTTCCAAGAGCTTTTGGAAATTCCATTAGAGCGTTATGTGGATCATATAGCGAGCATGAGGGAAAAAGGGGTAATATATCTTGCCAAAAGAAGGCAAAAAATAGCATTTTAATTATATAAGAAATAGAAATGCCCATGTGTCCTTTTTGTCAAGAAACTGAGCTAGCTTTATATTATTTATATTCGCAGCACACAGTCACACTTGACTACTGTTTTCGGAGCTTTTCTGTGCAAGGATTAATTTAATCTTTGTTTCCCTTGGACAGCATGTGGCATATGACAGTATGTTTTGAAAGCTTCTATTATCTGGGAGAAGATATTTGGTTCAAGTCAGCTGACGAGGGTGCTGGGAGGGCAAGCAGAGCTTGTAAACAGCAGTTCTCGGCAGCGCCGCATTCTTCTTGTTGGTGAACTTTGGGAATTTTGATTTTTATATCAGAATAAATAACAATTGAGGGATGAGGTCCTACTAGTTATGTGCAAACATTATCGCGCTGCTGTTACCGGCTGATGTCCCGGGAAAGCAGTTGGATCCCCAGGGATGTTTTCTGAATTGGCGGCTCCTCCTGATTTGCTCCTAGGAAGGAGCGACTGCAGGTCAGTTGTTGTCAGCTAGCACTAAAACAGACCCAGGCCTATGTTAGGTCACGTTTTAGAGAGACATCTCTCATCTAAATCAAATTAAGCCTTTTCTGGGCATCTGCTTTTTATCATTGAGATTCCTAAACTGCGAGCGCTCGTTATTACCACGAACGTAGAAACTCCTCTCAATGCAGCAGTAAGTAACTGCACATGGTTTGTCTGGTCGTTTCCTCGCTTTTTGTTCATGTGCTTGGGCTTGTGTCCACATAACTCTTGGAGATGCTTTTCCGTAGTGCAGTTGGCTTCTGATCTTCCCTGAAATTTAAAGTTAAGAAAACTTCCTTGCCCCAGTTTGTCTATTTTAAAGAAATAAAATGAGTTTTTATGATTGGTGAGTTTTACACTTTAAAATTTGATACTTTTTAAGTGAATAGATAAACTTGACAGTCTGTTTCCAGATACTTCTCTATGAAACTCACTTGAATTCAAGCAGTAACCAGACACATGCTTGTTTGCTGCTGGGGTTTTCAAGCCAGCCAGGTGCTGCAAGGAGGCACCTGGGGTCGGCGTGCAGAGCTGCTGAGCGGCCTCTTGGCAGCAGGAACATTAGGCGGGGAGAAGTTTTTCCCGTTACAGTTCAGCCCAATGACCAGTTCATTCAAAAGCTGAGAAATTGAGAGCTGAAATACTAGGGAAGGTGGCTTTCCTCTTTTAACCTTTAAATAAAATATTATACCAGTGAAACTGAGGTACAAACTTTAAAAGCTTGCAGGATATTCTGAACAAAAGTAATTAAATTTAAATGTTTTTTCCTCATTTTCTTTCTAGTGTAGTAACTTTGGTTTTATTTTTGATTAATAAACAGCTACTCAAATAGGATAATCTTGAGCATTTTCAATTTTCTTCCAAATATATTTTAACATAGACCATCGTTACTGTCAATTTTTAGTATATAGTGAGTTCATTATTTTCTGATATAACTATATAAAAAGGAAAGAACATTTCTGAATTGTCTAACAGATATGTATAATATAGAGTATTCTGCTTGAGTAAAAATAAAATTTTAAGTACTATATTTATTGTCCTTAGTTGCAAATCAGCATGTTTTAATACATAATAGCTAGTTAAAATCAATGTTTTTGTAAGAAAACAACTGATAGATATTAATGTAGAAAGCAATTAAAATTGATTTAGATACATAATTTCATGGAATTAAATGATTCTTACAGTTAGGAATTTTAAATCATTTTGTTTTATGCTGTCAGGCAAATAAAATGGCCAAACTCTCCAAGCTTGGTTTTGTGGACCATTATGGCACTTGGTACTGACCTTCATGGGAATGGCAGATTGTGTCTTTAGATCAATAGGTGGTCTATCTACCGAAGTTTAGATTCAATTTTCATCTCCTAACTTTGACACTTGTCACTGAGGCAAGTTCCTTCATTCTCTGCTCAGTGCTTATGGCAGGCAAGTTGCAAGGAGGTTTTCTGGGGTGTGTGCATCTCTGTCGAGTGCTCTCCAGCTTCTTGCAAAGGTTCCCTTTGCTTAGTGGTTCCGCTTCTGTTTAATTACTGGTCTAAAACTGTTCTTCTAGGAAAAAATGTAAGGTTCATAGTCAACTCAAGTTTTAATCAGTTTTTCCTAACCTCTTGATTCTGAATGTCAAACATAAGTTAGTTTTTTTAAAAAGTTGTTATGTTGTTGGTCGTGCTCTTACAGTTCCCTAAACAAAGGCTTAAAGCAATGTTCACAAGGACCATCGAATACTGCTTGAGCATGATTTCAAAGGGACTTTTTTTTAGAGCTGCGGTTATAGATAACTAATTTCCCTTTCTGGCTTATCTCTATTTCATCCTTCTGTAATTTCAAGATTCATATCCTTTTCCCTCTTACTTCACAACATATTTTGAATGTGAGACTCTCATGTCACAACTCAACTGAACCCTTCATCAAGCTTTTTAAACCCTACGTTAAAATTCTGTTTCTAAGGTAAACAGATTTGGATCAGAAAGATTTCCAACTAGCTAGTATGCATTCTGGCTGAGAGTTCAAGCAGTGGCTTTAATCATATTTTTGTTGATTATTTATTAGTTTCTGTGGGAAATCAAAGGATGGACAACCTAAAATATGTCTTCCATAAAATACTTCATGAATCACAAGCTGTAGCAAAGAATTTCTAGGAAGTGCTGATACTAACTGATTGAGAGATTAAATATACATCTTTAGTGTGTGTGTAACATGCAAATGAAGGTTGACCCAAAAATGAGCAACTCTGCTGTCAGGCTGGAGTAGAACTGGTATTGCTTTCCTTGAGGAAGAAAATCTGTTGGGAGGGGAGGTTCTGTGCTGGGACATCCAGAGGAGGATGATTGAAACCAATTCAAAACATGAGAGAAAATCACAAGTCCGGAGCTTTGATTAAGTGTATGCTGTGACTATGTTTGGCAACTTGAGATAATATGTAGTTCTTCACCCGCCAACTACTTACAAGGTGTGCTGATAAATTCCTAATCATCCAAATATTGCTGTTAAGCCCCAGTCATCTGCTGGTAATAGCTGTATGTGGCGTTATATGCTTTGGAATTGTGGTAGCCAAGGAGCATCGTAGGAACTGATGCTACCTGGGGGAGAACAGCGTCCTAGCAATATGTGCAGTGGGGATTTTATTGCAGAAGATGCTGTAAGAAACAGGAGTCACTTGAAAATATAAGTGATTGTGTAGAACCGTGCCTGGATTTTGTATATTCTAAGGGAGAAATACTATTCTAAAAGTGCTGCAACTATAGTAACCACATTTCCTCTGGGAAGTTTGGTAGCTCAGAGAATCAGCCTTATCTGCCATTGCAAATAAGAAACATTTAGCTCTTGCCTAACCAGCAATTCCTGCTTGTCAGTGAGTTCCTTTCTAGCTTTCTCAGCTTGCTGGGGGGTTCACTCTGCCTCTCCCTTTCCCTAGTCCTTCTCATGCTCTTCTGCATCATCCTCATTCCCTACCTCCGTGGTAACAGGGCATGTGTGATAGAAAGTGCAAAATTTTACTGTAATAATATTTTGGTATGAACTGAGCAGACATATCCTGTCCATCATGAAATACTATAGCAAGATTTTACTGGCTGCCTAGAGAAGGATGGGAATATCGTGCAACAATCCCCAAACCTGCCAAAATTGGGGAGGAAAAAATGAAGTGCAAGTTAGATTCAGGCCAAATTTTTAGTCAAATTCAGATTTTTTTTCCTGAAATCTAGTGACAGATGAATAAAAACAAGCAGTTTTCATATAATTAGTTTATAAAGAAATTTAATAGTTTATCAACTTTGTTGTTTGGGTGACAAATATAAAATTAAAATTCATAATTCTTTTTTTTGCAAAGCAGTCAAATATTTTATAAGATTGTCTTTCAATATATGTCTTCTTTCAATATATTGAGTTTTTATTTTTAACTTTTAACTTTCTTTAGATAAAAAGTCACCATTTAATTTTTTTTTAGCATTTCCTCTCTGAAAATTCCTGAAGGGCAGGGTAGAAAACAGAGGTTCAGTCCTGTATTTGGAACTGGGAGGTGTTTGGCAGTCTAAATATCAGTGCTGCCAAATATAATATGATTCACACACCACTAATAGTTTCTACTTAGCCATATGTGAGATTTTGTAAATGTCTATGGAAATTGTGCAATACTCATCTTTTGAATGATCTAAATATGCAAGCACAAATTGTGTCCTCTCTCTGCATCCTAGGGCAATGCTCCCAGGAAGAGAAAGCACAAGCCAGGAGCCAAATATGGTACAGTTCCTATTTTGAGGCATCTTCATCTTGAGTGCACAAGTTCTTTCTGTCAGAAGAATGAGCTCCAGGATTGAGGAAACTGTTGACCACTTAATATTGTCATGACTGTGTATAAATTATATGCAGAGTTTAGGATCTCTAGGTTTATCCCTGCAGCCTTGGATTTGTGTGCCTCTGCCAAAAAGGTTGGAGATGTTACTGCAGACGTGTGTGTTTGTTTTTCAGTTTTATGTCAAACTTGGAGCAAAACCTGGTGTTATGTTTTCATAAGTACATTTTTTTTCCTTTATTGTAGTACAGTGATTTAAGAAGACTTAGGAGACAGGTTGTTTTTTTAGTAGTCATTACTTAATTTCTAGATATATTGGTAAGGAAACAAAGATCACCTTGTTCATAAGGGAATTAGTGCCCCTGGTTAATGTCCAGGTGTTCTTTCAACTGAAGGCTGAGACTAATTTCTTCCTGGCCCTCTGGAAACCAGCTGAAGCCGTAGTCCAGCTGGTATATCTTCACTCTGGCATCCAACATCTTTCACTGATTCACAGATTTCCTTATGTCTTTAATACTTCCTATAATGCTTACAGTCTTAGAATGTTAATTTGAAGACAAATGCTGTTGCGCTTTGCTTCATCTGAACCGAGGGATAAATGAAAAATTAAAAATAATAATCTCAGTGCACCTCGTGAGCTCCGTTTGCCAAGTAGTCATCTGAGAATCCGTCAGAGGTTTGCTAAAAAAAAAAAAAAAAAAAAAATGCACAGAGTATTGTCAGGCTTGAGACATATGGATTTGGATGGCATTTCAGCAGTTGATGCCTTAAAGAATATGTTTGTCTAATTATTTTTTTCTGAAGTCCAGCTTTGGATATTGGCACACACAGTTATCTGACGCCTATCGTAGATCACATTATTTTTTTCTTGCCATGCTCAGATGTCAACAATGTCAATCTAAAAATGTATCGAGTAGCACAGGTGTGTGATGGCACTATGCTTCTGTAATGCTTTCTGAACTTTATCATGTATTTATCCTGTGCTTAATCATTCAAACAAGGTTTGCAAGCCATTAGTAGCAGCCCATCTACCCATAGCTTATAGGTCATTTGAAAGGAGGTGGTTGCAGACATAAGATGGAAGCAGATCAGGGGAGACCCAAGGGGCAACCACCGAATTCAGCTGTGTTTTGGTGAAGGATTTGCAGACCCTCAGGATGTACTGAAGATGGTGACATAAAAGCTGTGCTTTCATGGGGAAAAAGGGGACGAGCAAAGGTCATTTGTGCAGCTGCTGGGGACCTGCAAAGGAGGAGAGAAGCAGCTTCCCCGTGTGAGTGCTAGAAAGTGCTAGGGGAAGAGTACAGAGTCTAAAAACCCAAGAAACCTAACCTGAGTTTGGAAGCCCCAGTTTGAATTGAGAGATCACTGCCTGGAAACTGTTATCAGGGAGCAGCACTGAGGTGGTGGTGACGGACTCATGGGAAGACTGAATTTTGAGTAAAAATAACTTCAGAATTCTTATGTGAGCCAGGGTAAAACTCTGCAGTTCAGAGTTGCAGTTCAGTGCATGAATTTGTGTGGTGTTACTTGTTTTTATATAATTAAATGATGCTATGAAAGAACAGATTACATATATTTGGTCATTTAGACCAAATAATCAAATGTAGAGGGCTGCATTGGCTGTGAAGGACTAGGAATTAAGATGTGCTCCCCCCAAAACATCATTGCTCACCAGCATCCAGCTCTGCTTTCCTTATCGTGGTCCAGACTTTCTGGTCCCTGTTAACATTTAAAAGTTATAAATCACTATTAGGAACTCTGGAGGAGGGAAGGTGGAAGCTAGTTATAATGCTTTGTGTAAGGGATTATAGTTTGAAAAGCTGTTGAAGAAAGCCTCAGAGGTGAGTCCTTTTGAACAGTCCAAAAACTGAAGCAGAGCAGCTGAGCTATATGGATTCTCGTGTGTGTGTGTGTGTACAGTATCTTCTGGGTTTTCTTCATTTTTTTCTTCAGCCTTTACAACATAAAAGCATGTTCTAATTATGTAATTACATATTTACACCACCACCTGTGCACTTGTAAGGCCTTAGACTTACTTTTCAATTGGTAATTTTATAAGAACACATTACAGGAAAGCTTGGATCTGTGATAGTGTGTGGACCACGTCTGCGCGTGGCAGTTTAGTTTCTCTGTCCCTGATGCAGTATTATTCACATAGGGACATTTGCATGGATGTTAGGACGTTGGTAGAACATCCAGATATAGGATGAGCCGAAGCTGTGGCTGCTGTGCCCGTTCCATGTGTGTGCCCTGCGCGTGCTCCTGGGAAGAGCAGGGTCATTGCCCAAATGCCCGTGCGGAGAGTCCCTTCTGCCGCAGTTCCTTGGGCTGCTTCGTTTGGACTCAGATTTATTGTTGCTAAACTGTTGGTGTGTGTTTAACAGCTGCTGCCTTTTATTCAGAGCTGGCTGGAATTCAGTGATTTATCTTGAGTTGTGAAGCTAGTCAAAGACAACTCATCAAAGGCTCAACAGAAACAGTTTCTTAATGGGAAGTAATTTTCCAATCAAAGTATAACAGAACTGTAGTAATACATTGGAATGTGCTTTGATGTTCCTTAAGACATATGGTTGCCTAATAAATGCACCTAATTGTATACGTTTCATTGTATCTAGCTGAGAAATCATTTTGATTAGATTCTACGTTGCTGTGAGGTACTTCAGAATGAAAGAAATTTAAATTCAAGATGATATCGTGTAATGAAAATGGAGACACACTGTATTAGCATAATTATATATCTCTAGTTGTAAATGTTTCTATAATAACACTGCAAAGAGCAGGTATTGTAATGTGCTTTTATTCTAGTTGGTGCAAACATTCAAGAAGAACTTGTTCTTCAGCAGTTCTGGGAATAGTTTATTCTTTGAGTTGTAAATGAGATGTTAGAGGATTTAAGCACGCTTTTCTAAGATAGTATTTCTCCTATTTGTTCTTCTAGCATTCTGATATCACTCTTGTTATGCCATAGCATCCCAGTTTCCTGTATTAAAAAAAAGGGGAGAAAGTTACCCCACTTTCTTTCACATAAGTTTCTGTTAGGAAAACACTTTTTTTCTCCCTCTTTAAAGCTCACCTGTACCGTTCTTTTATCAAGGCGTGGGGAAGGGGGCACTGTCAGCGAGGTTACCCGCTCAACATATGGGCTGAATTACTCAGGAAAGAATTGAGCGGCCACTGTTTCAGATTGGTTCCGCTGGTAAAGAAGTGGCTTGCCCTGCTCCGCACAAGAAGGATGGATCAAATGCTCTTTGAACAGTCAAGGGTTTTTCAAAACGTCAGTGCAGAGGGCTTGCATTTTTATTTGGCTTTCTAGACCTGCCTCTTGACCTTCTAATTACTTTATTTGAAACAGCACTGAGGGTATAATAAAACTGGAGGTTGTCTCTCGTTTGCTTTATCATAAATTAAAGCTGTTAGTTTGGCGAGGTGAAAGTAGAGGCAGAGTGTTCATTACTGCTCAAGTGACGGCTTGTCAATAGCACTGCCTTTTAGTTTGTTCTAGTCAGCACTTGCTGTGCATTTTGTTGGACCACTGGGAAATAAATACAACAAGATTATACATTTGGAATACCACAAGAGTTCATGGAAGAGGGGGAAAAAAAAAAAGAGAAAGATAAATTATACACTTGGTATGAAGTGACATGCTATCTTGTGCTATTAACAACCAGAGATAATTGTGGCGGATTGTAATTGCAGTTTGCAACTTACAGTACAGTGTGTCCAACATCAATCTTAATAGCGCACAAAGCAATTTATATTAAAACTTAATTCACTTGGTAAGTTTGGGCTGTATACAAGGGAGCTAACAGATGTAGCTTTTCAGAAAGTTCAAAGGCATTTGGAACATGGAGCGCAATGCTAATGCAGTAAGCCTTGGAGAAATATTGCATTACGACTTATAATGAAAACAAATGTATGCCATTATATCCTAGTTTGTGTTTATTTAATAAACTACACAGTTTTGTACGTCGAAGAAATTCTGTTTCTGATTGTAATAAAACCAGATTTTTTGCTCGCAGATTAGGCAGGAATAGCAATTATGTATGTACTGGGTATGCGGAGTCTGGATTTCCATGTGCCTGAGTCTATGTTCAATTTAACTTTTATGGCAGTACTAAAATGAGGGGAGAAGTTTTTATATATGTGTGTGTATTTATGGCTTTATTTAGGAATTATTTACTAGTGTATAGGTTATTTTTCAAGGTTGCCTGGTAGTAATTACTCTAATTAGTGATATCTTGAATTTGGTGAAACTGAAATGACTCTTTGCTTTGTGAAAGCCTGACATTCATTCTAGTGAAGATGATGTCCTTCCTTCCACTGGCCACCTTGTGGTGCCCTAATGTCTGCAAGAGGTTCTTCTTGCTGCTGAATTCCTGTTTTATAGGTTACGACAGCAACTTCACATTTACTTTAGCAGGTTTAACCATTTTCCCCATGTGAAGATCAAGATCCATGAACTCCCTGTTCTGCTCTCTGGTTGACAGCATGCTCGTGGGTCGAGTACTTGTCAAGCACAGAGCGACAGTGCTGAGTGATGCCATTTTGGAGAGTTATTTGTCACAGCATGAAAATCCCCACGTAAGAACATATTTAGATTTGCCTAATTGAGTCATTGCTACCTTTTTAAAGTTGAGGAAGAGAGTTCCATGGGTTCCAGGGTTATACTTAACTCTGCTTCTTACCTGCCGTGACCATATGTTGCAGCCACACTTCTGGGGCAGACCTTCATAAAGATATATCATATTTAAATGTGTAGTCTTAAATTATTTTGCTAGTGATATAGTATGAAGGGAAGCCCGCATTGCTGGAAAGGCATTTTAAGGAGGCAAATGTCTGCAATTTTTGGAGTGGGATGTGAAGGAGAAAAAGCTTTGCTTTTTGCTGGTAATGAATTTTCTGGTGTGTTTGCAACCCGCTATCTCTGACACCAACAGGCAGGAAAGGTAATTTGAGAAACTCAATTCTGCAACATTACAAATAGTTTTCCATTTGTTTTAGCGAAAGGTGTCTATAAATCCAAGTAGTGTTTTGGCAGCTAGTCATTCTGGACGTACGGGACTTGAATTATTTTTCCTTTTCTCGTAGGTGAAAGTAGAATTATTACAAGGTGTAAAGTTGTCTGATACAGTATTGTTTCGTAGGAAGAGCAAACGTGAGGCTCGGCTTGTCCATGCTCTTCTCTGCATCCTCGTCGCCACAGAGGTGTCACTGGGAGGAAAAAGAGTTTGCATTTTTCAAAGCTCAGCAGCTAACACTTTCTGTTTAAGAA